ACCTTCCAGCTTCCACACCACGCTTCCCTTGAGCAAGTCATTATCTTGATCAATTATGTTATCTTCAAGCCATTGATGTTACCGAGGTATTTCCTAAGACAAGCTATCTCTTTTGAGATATTCCGAGACTTGTTATGAATCAATACCAAGGGAGACAGGATGACGTTTTCGAGATATTTCTCTTTCATTTCAACTCCGTTTCATGAATGGTTTTCACATACGCGTTCTTGGGAAGATCCAGTTTTATAAAAAATACTTAGTGTGACTTGAAAGTTCTACAAATTTTTAATGACTAATTACGGAAAAAAAAAATCTATGTAACTAGTTGACTATCAAATTAATAAAAATAAATTCACTTACATACGAATTACAAAATTTAAAAAATAGTGAAATACAGGGACATGATTTCACAGTGGGAGTAGGGCCACTTCCTATGAGAACTTAGGCAAGTTCTCTAGTGCACTCATGAATATCCAAGTGGGTGCATGGCTTATTCGCGCTAACCAGCTCAAACAAGCTCGTTCCCAAGGATTCAGTGTGATGGTTAGTCCTATGATTCACGCAAAGAAATATTGGTTCATAGAAAATTTAATTTTCACCGAATTTCTATGAGTTATGGCTAACTTGTCCCAAGACTGGTTCATAGCTGATACGTTGGATTTATTTCCTAAAATTATGGTTGTTAATATTATCACTTGATTGGTTGGTATCCATTACTTCTAGTTAGGCATGGCAAACAAGTCGTGTTTGTCATGTTCATGTCGTTTTTGTGTAACACATGTTATCTTAACGGGTCGTGTCGCGTCACACCCATTAAGAAAAAAATATTTTTTTTCTTAAAATTGAACATACCACACATTGCCACATAAATATTACTTCAAAACATTAAAACACATTTGTCATTTAAGTACTACATCTACACTCGAAAATAAGAGCCTAATAAACAAACATCCAAACACTACTAGTCTATTACAAAATATTAAATGTGCAACGATATGCAAAATGAAAGAGTTTTTGTTTTCAAGGTTGTGAAGCCTTTCTCAAAAGTTTAAACCTTGCCAATGGAACTCAAAGCTTGCATGTTATTCCTCTTACAAAATCCTCAATTTTCATCAATCATCATGACATAAGATTTTGTGGTATCCACTAGTGTAAATATTTTAAATTGAAGATCGAATTCATTCATTGTATTCATATAGGGTCAAGGAGTGTAGCTGTAAAAAAATCATCAAAATCGGAGTTAAAATAACCATTAAATCATGATTTTTCGTTGATAACCGTTTAACAGTTTTGTTGACACACCCCTATCGTGATCAGGGCATGCTGGCCGTCACGTGGAAGTGACGTAACCATGTGCACAGTGCGGAAGCTAATAAAATAATAATATAAATAGTACGAATAAATAAAACTAGCTTTACACAAAGTAATAACAAACAAGTGCAAGCGCAAGTGTGAACCCTAAGTGCAGAGCATGGAAGCCTAATGCAGTCCAAAAGGAAACGACACAACAAAAGGACACCCGAAGGTGGTCCTACACTGGTGATAGTCTGTCAGTAATGCCGGGGAAATCCTCAGGGAAGCCACCAAACGTGCTAGCCAACTAGAACCTGGAAGGGCGCAAAACAAAAGCATGAATGGGCAAAAACAAAGCTTTTCGAAAACCATTTAATAAATAAGTTCTAACCCCTCGCCGTAAAACCTGTATACTTCCCAGAAAATAGAATATATATATATATATGTCATGCTCAGGAATATGCTATGCCAAAACCTCAAAGTAAAATGCAAGTGCTCAGGTAATGTCATATCAATATCATATAATCTGTCAGCCGGAGTCACCTAACGTGACCTGTACGGCTGAATCTAGAGCTCAAATCTCTATCTCACTAGCTAGACCTGCACACGAGTCGGAACCACCTAAAGTGGTCTGTACGACAGGCCTGGGTGTAATATATAAATACGCTCAAGTGCTACGATCACGTGAAGGCTGGGCGAATAATCGCGGGTCACCTACGAGTCGGAACCACCTAAAATGGTCTGTACGACAAGCCTGTGCACCTAACTTGGATCCAAGATGAGCGTGTGGTGCGGGAGGTGAACATTACGTGAAGGACTGTGCCCGACTATGGGCGGGAGCACTAACACTGGGGGTGCAGGTTATGAGCTCTCTAAGCATCTCAAAACACTACTAAACATAACATAAGTCATACTCACCTGGCATTTACCTGTGCGTCCACAGCAACCATATACATATATATACATATGCAACTAACAACGTATAAACAAACGGCAATATAATGCATGGCATATAAACGAATAAATGTTTCAAACCAATTTCTGGGAAAAGTATAAGTATATAGGTATATACGGAAAACCAAAAGCCCACTCACTGGTAAGTAGAAGGGTCGTAACCCCCTTGCCTCGAGTGACCACGCTCGTCCTCGGGATAGGTCTCACCTAAATGCGAAACAACTATAAAAACGTAAATTTTAAAGCACATAACCAACTTTAAGAAATAACTTCTCATACAAAGCTCAAATGGGGTGTATGAATACACCAACGTGATCTACTCAACCTCAAGAACATCCCCATATTTTTAGAAAAAAATTTCACCGCCGCACGCGCCAGCCAAGGCACGGCCACACGCGCCGGCCACGCGCAGGCACGTGCCTGGCACGTTGACGGCGTCAGTTAACGCCGTCAGGAATATTCCGTTATTTTTATCGGTTTTCGTCAACGGCTTTAGGAATATTCCGTCGTCTTCTCCGGCGAGGCTCCGGCACCGTCGCCGGCGCCGGAAAATCGGGAAAACTTTAAATCGTCCTATCTTCTTCGTTTTTCAACCAAATTTCACAAAATTGGTACCAAATTGAAGCTTACAACGAGAGGAACAAGTTGGTAGTTGGATACGACTTAACTTTATAAACATGTTGGTAGTTGGATACGACTTAACTTTATAAACATGGAAGTGGTTTTTTAATGGTGAATTCAAAATCTGGTCTCATCCTCATTGTTTCTCAATCAAACATATCATTCGCTGCTACATTCTTCTTGCATTTTAAGTTATATTCGTTACAACACAAAAACTATTTTCAATTTGTTACTTTCATTCTTTAGTTAGGGTTCTTTCAAGGCTACTAAATTATAGAGGTCCAATTAGTCACTATGGTTCGACACCCTTGCTTGTGCCATTATACTAATCATATATTTGCACTCGGAAGAAACACAACAAACATTGGAATCACTTGTAATGTGTGTGATTTTTTTTCATGCACTACCATTTCTGTTTAGGGTGTATTCACTAGGAATTTTTAAGGATTTTAAAAGACTTTATCAGTTCAATTAAAATTTAAAATGAGTTAATGAAATTTAAGAACATTTAATTAGGATTTTAAAGGAGTTTTTTTTATAGACGATATATTTACATTAAGGGGCGAGGGAATCAACCAATTTTGAAATTCACAGGATTCGAATTTAAGACTTCTCACATACAAAGGAATACCACTAAATCGATTTTAAAGGAATTTATAAAAGTCCATAGAAATTAGGAGTGTTCATTAAGCACTTTAATTGAGTTTATAAAAATCAAAGTGTATTTAAATGTCAAACAAATGGACAGCTCATCACGATTCGTGAGAAACTTTTTGACATGCATGTAAAACAAAACAATCTTTAAATTTTTTGATTTTTTTCCACATGATCTTTAGATGATAATAACGAAAACAAACAGTTTCGATTATGATGTTTGTACAATAAAAATACATTAATCACATGTAACCTAGTGAGTTCCCTCATAAGGCAGACACAAGTAAACCAATATTTTGGGCAATCACAAATTTAGCCACTGCCTCGAGATTTTGATGAATTTTTGTTTTCTATTCTCAGGTTATAATCTACCACCTCAACTACCGCCATCACCACATTGCACCACCATCCTCCTTAGCACTTTCACCATTATGCTGCCAGTAGCTCCACTACCATGCTGCCAACACCACCAGCACCACCTACACCATGTTGTTATTGTCACTACCACCACTTCCACATACACCACCACGATCATGACGCCATAACCACACCACTTGCATAAACACTGCTTGGACTTTTTACGTGTGCATTTGCCATCTAAAGAATTATGGGAACTTTAACGAAAAGCTCCTTGTACTGTTCACTTTATTTTGTCATTTTCGTTAAAACTCAAAATTTTCAAATCACTTTCATTAGTTTTTTCAAGAATTTTTTTTGTCAATTTATCTTAACTTAAATTCTATTGAATTTTCCTTCAATAACCATGCACATGAGTCGAGTTTTAATATTTTATTCCTACTACCAGAGAGGCATTATTGGAATTTCGTGTATCCTACATGCGATTTCCCAATAAAAAAAACATAGTACAACAACATCATGTCACCATCCTTCTCCTCACTCACTTCTCACCTTGACCTTAAATTAAAATCCCTTCAAATTCCAAATATAAATTCTGAAGTTTTGAACAAGTCAAATTTTACCAAAGTGGAAAATCTATCTTCCAAGTTCCAACAGCTTAATGGTAAAATATACAATTTGTAAAAGCAATTAAATTTGAAACTTTAATGAATAATATTTCTAGTTTTCTCCATATCCAAAATATAACTGGATTTTCATTTTTAAATTTATTCCCTTCATGTGGTTGTCCACAATTATTGAATTTAACGATTTGAATTACCATCGCACAACAATTAAATTAGAAATCTCACCACAAAAACTACCAGATCTCAACTCAACTATATAAGGCATAAAATCTCAACTAAATAAAAAATCAAAAGAAATTAAACAAAGTTAAACCCCTACGTCTTTTTACCATTTCCAGTCAAACCAGTCAAAACCTTTTGGAGATAAATTATTAATTTAATATAATTTATTTACTATTCAATCAGTTTTCATTTTCCCAATTTAATTTTTCCATTAAACTTTATTATTAACCAACAACAACCACCTTCACTCTGCTTCTGTGTCAGATTTTCAAATTGTGCCTAATCCCGCTCTCTCTCAAGCTCAGAGCTTTCTCTCTCCTCCTCTTTCTGGAGGCCTTTGGAACTTTTAGGATAGAGAGAGAGATTCATTTCTTTAGGTCAATCTTCAGCCCAACAATGCAATGTGTGCATCTATGCATATCAAACTGTGTGTATGTAATCATGGGTTTCCTCAATTTTTTTTGTTTAGTTCTGGAGATGAATCGATTAGGGTTTCTGGGTTTGTTTCCATTTTTTAAATTCTTCAAGTTTTGGGTCGGTTGACATTGTTCTGTGCGCCCAATGTATGTTTGGTTAGTGAGAAAATGTGGGAAAGAAAAAGGAAATAAATCAATGTTTAAAGAATCTTTCTCTTTAATTTTTCAATTTTTGGGATAAAAACTCGAAAGAAATGAAAATTTCCACTTAATAAAAACTGGGTTTTACATCTTCTATTTGGGATTTTCTATAAAAAAGAAGAAAAGTTCCAATTTGGGTCATATTTTCTTTTGGGGTTCTCCCATTTTCTTGGGGATCAAACAGGTCAATGTGTCAACTTTCGCTGTTAAATTTGGAGATCGTGAAATTTTGAAAATTGGGTTCATAGCAAAAAAAGATTTTACCTGGAACTAGATGAACTCAGCTCGATGCTTTTGCTTTATTGCTGAGAATTTGTGGGTAAAAATCAAGAGCTCAGTTCCTTTTATCTGTTTTGATCCCACTTCTATCTGATCTGAGTAGCTGAAATTTAATAATTCCAGATTGTAGTTTGTCTCCTGGAAGCGAATTTACGGGCTGAATAGTTTGATTCTTGTGCCCAATGTACTAGTCTGAATGAAATCCATTGAACATTGAGTTTTTTTTTTGTTCTTTCGGAATAAATCTTGACATGATGGTTTTCCAAAGTTTTCTCAACATGTCTGTCATTTTAAATTTCAATAAATATTTTGTTGTAAGCTGAACCAAATATTTCCCATTGATCTGTACTTATGACAAAAATGGTTAATTTAATAATTGTCCATGTAATTTGGCACTTTGGGAGTTTATTTAGAAAGATCATTTGGGACTTTGACTTCTATGATAGTTGATCATCACTAAAACGATTAACTTTATTTCAATTGTATAATTTCAAATTTCATTCGCTTCTGCATGAATAACTTTGTTTCCACAATCAAAGTGCACTGTTCAACTGTATTAGAAAATGGCCTTTGTTGATTTACTTTTTGCAAGCTTATCATGGTCTTCAATTTCATGAGTTGCATTTTGAAGTAGCATTACAACATATCTGGAGATTTTCTTACGAATGCCGTACTTTCTGATTTTCTTGATCTGCATAGCTGTTGTTGCATGCTCTTTACTCAGCTTGTTCTTGAATTTACTTTGTCCTGGTTTTGTTGCAGGTCACATTGATTGGTTCCATTTGATGTGGTGAGCTGTTTGTATCTCAGCCCTGCAAACATGAAGAGAGAAAATACAGTCACCGCACATGTTAGAGAACTTCCTGGTAGAATAACACGTGCTCGAGCTGCTTCACTTCATACATCTGGACATATTCCCCCACCTAAACCACCCACACAACAGAGTCAGAAGCAGGCTTTGCGGACAAATTCAAAGAGAGCTGCCACGGATGAGAACATTACAAACGCTACTGGTAATGCATGTATCCAACGCAAGAGGAGGGCAGTACTTCAAGATGTGACCAATGCTCTCTGTAAACCTTCATATGCAAACTGCTTCAATGCAACTAAAATTAAGGTCAATAGCCTGTTAGTTAGATTTTATTCATAACAAGTATTCAGGTTTCCTCTTAAATGTTGTGGAAATACAATAATACGCTTGGTTTATGCTAGTGTACGGCTAACTTTAGTTTTCAGAATGTTAAGTAATTTTAGAAGACTGAGAAAAAGAGATGACTTGTTATTCTTTTAATTTTTCATAACATAGTAAGCATGAAGGACCGTTTCCAGAATTAATTTCCACTTGTCACTTGTCACTATCTTGTAGCAAGGTTTAGTAAGCATATATGTGTGTACATATATATACACATCATGACGGCTTTGCTCTTTTTTATTTCTCTGCTCTAGAATCTGAATTCTGCCTCTAATTAATGAAGGCTAAGAACAGTAAGCCAACTAAAAAGGGTCAGGCAAAGCTGATGGAAATGGCCTTTTCCGTTGCTGGAGATTCAAAAACCGAGGTTTTGGATGGAACAGTCAAACTAGAGCTTAAATCAGACGAATTTTGGTGTACAATTAATTTGGAAGATGGCAACAGATTTATGAGGTCAAATAAGGATGTGAAAGATATTGATCAGTTGGAGAATCAGAGTTCTGGAGTGGCTCCAAAATTCCAAAGCCCTTCGTTTAAAGGTTTGCATTTCTTTAGTTTTCTCTTTTCCAAACATGACAAATCATTGCAAACTTGAGTTGAAATGCAACAAAAGAGTAGCACTAGATAGGAGTTTGTGTATCAATGTATGTCAGTTTTGAAGCACGAAATGTGTCCACACCCTTTCTTGTGGCCCCTTTATTTCCGTTTCACTTACTCATAATGCACAAAGGATAATAGACTGATAAATAGCATCATTAGATGTCACTTTTCTGATTAGCTGTGATTAGACCATAATTCCGTAGTTCTTATGTACTAAGGGGCTTAAGGGCTATATGAGCTTGGAAGGCTTTACATGAGGAGGATTCATGATCAAATATCTGGTTGTTTCTCCCATTAGGAATTAGGCCATATGCAGTAACCACTACAATAAAACAAAATCATATTTTTACTGTAAATACAAATCCACGCTAAACGCTTAAACAAATACAGACCAGAATGTTTATATTTTTTAAACAGCAATATTAAGGGAGGGAGGGGATTGAACCTACGACCTTGGGGTGCAGGGGTAAATGCTCTTAACTACAAGCTACAAGCCCCTTGCAAACATACTAGAAGGTTTGATTGTGTACTGCTTCTGTTCATGCCAGTTATATCTGACTTGTTTGAGTAGAATAAAAACTGAAGATAAATGGGAGTATGGAAAAGTCCTTGACAATTAAACCAGTTATTAGATAACAGTTAGAAAGAAAAAAAGAAGTTGTGTTTCAACATGATTTGCAAATAAGCATTCTATACATCTTTTCCTTTGCTAATATTATGCTTCACCGTGTGCTAACCTTATATGGCTCTGTCATTCTGAAGACAGTTGACCCATGTCAAAGCAATACAATACTTTTCTGAGCTACTTTAAGTGCTAGATGCCAAATGATAATGTTTCTTTTAAGGATATTCTATGTGTGCAGTAGTTTATGACCTTTAGCATTAACTTGTTGCAGCAGATAATGGTAGTCTTTCAGCAGACATGGTTATGTCAAGCAACCAGCATATTGTTAACATTGATGCGGATTACAAGGATCCACTTTTGTGTAGCCTCTATGCCCCTGATATCTATAACCATTTAAGTGTTGCAGAGGTTTGTGTCATTGAGTGTCAATATTCTTTTTATATGTACACCAGTTCCCTTTCTAGTAGCACCAGTATTTCATTCTATATACATTACAACGGTTAATTAATCAATTGGATACCTAAGCGACTCAGTTATTGATCAAGATGATGTGCAACAAATTATTTAGTTTAACAAGCATAGCTACCTCAAACCACAATGACATAGTGCACTTCAGATACATATGAATATGTGATACATGATTCCCGAGAAGCTGTATTATTCATAAGAATGTTGTTTTGTTTAGAGGAATGCCTAGTACAGGTTAAAACATTTTTATTCCTTTGGCCTTCTTTTTTTGGTGATAGATCAGTCATAAAGGATGTTAGAGGTGGTTCCTTTCCATAGTGTGGAATACATGCAAAGGGAACATAACCGGAATTTTTCTGTTCAAATATAATCTTTTGATACCAAAATGAAAACTATTTATAGATGCTGTGGGAAGAGAACATAATGTATTCAAGTGGGATAGGTTACAACTTCACCTTTAGTACGAAACATGTAAAACAAAGTTCTGTTCCTTATACCAGCTGCCCAAATCCGATATATTACTCAGGTGGACAGCCCTTCGCATAAAATACATTAAGCTATATTGTGAAGTGAAGTTGTACCTATCTCATCTTTATTAAAGCACCAAAGGTTCTCTTAAAGGAGGTGGCACCTAAGAAAAAAAAACCATTTTGAAGCTATTATTTTGTATTCTGTCTAAGCCTTTTGTGATATAGCGCTGTGTTCTGGTATAGATACTAGTCTGACTTAAGATTTAACTAATTAGAAACATAAATAATTGGTTGATTTATGAATGGTATGGTAATGCAGTGCTATGCTAAGCTACAATGGTATTTGTACTAAGTGCAATTCTTGGCGCAAGAAAAAATCACTAACCTATTAAAATGCATGTGATCTGTTGCACTCATTTCGCTTCCAACATAGAGATTGCACTCAGTGTTGGTGCCTTTGAGCTTTCATTTTTCTATCCTCTGTTCCTCTGTGTGAAAACTGGATTTTATTTTATTTTATTTTTTTGACAGCTTGACAGAAGGCCACATGCCAGTTTTATGGAAACAATACAGCAAGATATCACCAAAAGTATGAGGGGGATTTTAATCGATTGGCTTGTAGAGGTTCGCATGGTTCTTTTATCTATTATTCTTTATTCATTGTCTGCATAGCGAATGTATCTGATTGAGTACGAAAATACGGTGTGTGCAGCTAGTTGATTCTTCCTTCTACAAAAAAATTCAAGTTACATTAATGAAGATATTACTATTATGTTTTACTGAGGGAATAATACATAGCAAGTTAATCTTGGTAAAATTTTGTATCTTGCTTTGAAATTTGTCCCAGCCTTTATCAGATTGGTATGGAAATATTTAAGTAGCAATGGCATTTATATAATCATTACTCCTGATTTATCAACAAACCTTAATTGTTATTATAATGAAAAGAAAGAAGTTCCCTGGTGCATGCAGTGCAAGCTTTTAACTCAGTAATTGCCTTACGTACTACGGGAAGGTAAATGAGGATTGAGGAATATGCTGGTGATTTCACTTCAGAATCATGTCATGAAAATTTGAGTATTAGTAAATGAGATGGCATGCGGTGCAGTCTCTCCTCACCCCAAAGACCCTAGAAGAAAAATAAACTAGAGATGGCATGTGTTTGACATTTACCTGATATTGCCATCCTGATTCTAAGATTGTTATGTCTTTGTAATTTTACAGCAATTTCTGGTCACTCATGACTTGTTTAGTTTCATTTACAGTAAGTCTTATATGAAGCTTCTATTCTGTTTGTTGAAGATAGCAGCTGTACACATTAACGCGTCTTATGTTTCTATCAATGATGAAATGGTCTAATATGCTTTATATAAAGCATGTGAAAACTAATAGAAGTAGTTTGACAAAATGATGATGCTTGCAGGTGTCAGAGGAATATGAGTTGGTCCCAGATACGCTTTACCTCACAGTTTATCTCATCGATCGGTTTCTCTGTCACAATTACATTGATAGGAACAGACTTCAATTGCTTGGCATCACTTGCTTGTTGATTGCCTCGTAAGCTTTCATACCTATAGCAGAGTTAACTGCATTACTTGATTACAACTTTCGATTTGGACTTAACAACAATGAAAACATTCAAATCTTAATTATTGTGCTTTTATCATATGCAACCACTTTTATCAATAAGCCCAAATCTTAGCAGTCAAACATATGGAAACATAAATAATTCCAATATTGTCTCCCACTATTTGATGTTGAAAAGTGAATGAAGAATGTTGTTGGTCTATTTTAGATCCTTGGTCACTAATTAGTTGGAAGGAACTTATGTTGAACTACCCAACATGCTTTATCAATGCAGTATGCTTGGATTGGATAAATTTGGGCAACAGTTGTCTTGGGTAGTGAAATGTTGAATAATATTCATCAATATACAATCAACCTAAATTATAAATTAGTTTCTTCTATATTGCCTTGTTCATTTCAATCAAGGTCCATTTGGTGGAAAATAAGATGCCTTTGCCAAAATTTGGATGAAATAAGTACGGAGACAATAGAGATTATTGAATAAGTGTATAAGATTTAAAAGTTAATATGATAAAATTAATTTAGTTATGATTCTCTTGCAAGTGATTATATAGTACAAAGTTTCAAAGGGTTCATTCAAATGCATTTCACAGAACATGATATTTGTCAAATGTTGTTTATTGAGATTGCTGATGTGGTTGTCTTCTTTGTTTAATCTTATTAAGGAAATATGAAGAGATCTCTGCACCACGTGTTGAAGAGCTTTGTTTCATGACAGACAACACTTACTCGAGAGAGCAGGTATGTCATTGTCCGTTCTTATTCCAACAGATGGGTTAGATTATCAGGAGTTTATTATATACTGATGCAAAAATAAACCTTAAGAGTAGCCTGTAAATTCTGAATGAGTAAATGCTTGCTAGGGGATGCTCCTAAAGTAGTATGACGCCTCTGCACATAAATAGTGGGGATGAAAATGCTCTTGTAGGATCATACAACTTTAAAGCGAATAATTTCATTTTTTAATGTCTTTTTGTCCCTGCTATTCGTCTGAGTTTATGAGGAAAAATCCTTAACCCTGTCCCTCGCTCTCTTTTTATACTGAAAACCGAAAACCTGTGGCAAGACTTGTCCTATTGAAATTCTTATTTAATCCTTAAGGTTCTAATTTATTCTGCCCTGTAAGTTCTTTTCATTTCATTCCTAAATAAAGAAACGTTGCAGGTACTGAAAATGGAGAGTCAAGTACTGAAGTATTTTGGTTTTCAACTTTTTGCACCAACCACAAAAACGTTCCTCAGGTACATCTGCCCAAATGTTGTTAAATCCCTTTATTGATAGATTCAATACTATTCAACAATGCTAATGCTGATTTATTTTCAGGAGATTTCTTCGAGCAGCACAAGCTTCTTATAAGGTTCCATGATTCGTTAAAGTTGCTTTCGGCCTTGGTTTGCAGATGCCATGCTTTTTCTTATTCTCTCATTTTTTTTTTTTTTTGACCTCTGGTTTGAAGATCGAGTTACATATCAAATCATACAATTTTTGCAGAGTCCTAGCCTTGAACTGGAGTACTTGGCCAATTATCTTGCTGAGCTAACTTTGGTTGACTACAGCTTCTTGAATTTCCTTCCGTCTGCCATTGCTGCATCCGCAGTTTTTCTTTCCAAATGGACCTTAGATCAGTCCAGCCACCCATGGGTTCGTCTTTCTCCCTTCTTTCTCCCTTCTAGTATCATTATCTTCTCCTACTTGTTGATTATATACCGGAAAGATGACTTCAGTTGTAACTCTAACAGAATCCAATACTCGAACACTATACCCTTTACAAGCCATTGGACTTGAAGATCACAGTTCTTGCTTTGCAAGAACTACAGCTGAACACTAGTGGTTGTCCTCTGAATGCCGTACGCATGAAGTATAGACATCAAAAGGTATCAAATAGCAAGTATATGACAAAACAACTGATAAGCTTTCTAAAATCAGTACAAATTTTCATTACACCAGACTTGGAATGTTCAGTGAGTTTTCTACTAATGATGTGACTTTTGTTACGGCAGTACAAATCTGTGGTGGGTTTGTCATCCCCGGAACTCCCTGAAATGCTATTTTGAAGATGATTTCAAGGGACAGCTAACAGAGACTGACATGTATACTTTCTGGACAGAAGTTTCCTCGGGGTTTTTTCAGTCACTCCATGAGGCGGGCTATTTACATTCGTTTTATCCAATTTTCTTAGTTCTTTGTTTATAGGTTTTCTGACCTGGGTTTGTGCTTCAAGCAACCTGTGTCTTTTGTAGAATTGAACTAGGGCTGTCTAGCCACTTAAGCATGAAACTTGGTTACATGAACTGTTAATAGTCGTCATTATGTTGAGTTCAGGTTAATCCAGCGTAATTAGGCCGATCGCGGTTTAATTCAGTTGTAAAGTTTTTCACGACCCTAATTAATTAGTGAGATGTAACTTTTGCAGCCAAAGGTTTTAATCTAATGAACCATATTTTTGTTTGCAATTGCCTTCTGGTTGTGGCTCTGATTGGTCTTCATATGATAAATGCAAATTTCCTTATTGTACTATCAGATTCAGAACTTATTAGTCTCACATAGAATAACAATGCATTATGCTACTCTTGATTTGTTAAAGTATTCAGCAGTTTGAGATATTGGATAGTCCTGTTTTATATTTATTAAATTGACAAGTAAGCAAAAATTGTATTTCCTCAAATCAATTGGAATTGACTTGGATCTGTGGTCAGTTGCCACTTTCCAATAGTACTTTTGTAACAAAGAATATCGAATCAATTTAAACCTTATGTTTGAACTTCCCCCATCGAAGTGTCTTTCATTCTTATGTTTTAATACGGAGAAAATTGGAGAATTGGTCGCTTTAGTTTTTGAACTAAAAATTTGTGAGTATTGGTTTTTGAATTTTTTATAATATGAAATAATGGTTATTTTGGGTAACATCGTAAGAATTTACATTCAAAATAAAGGGTTTAAAGAGGAAAATAAAGAACGAAATTTTTAATGAAGTTATCTAAAATGACTATCGCTTCACATTGTGACTAGTTCACGGATCAATAAATTTAAAGACTAGGGGGTTATTTATTGGGAGCTTTATATATAGAGACAAACTTTCACTATATTTCAAGAAACTCCACTAGTTTTTAAACATGTCAAAGAGAGACAAAAACTTAAAAACAACTAAAGGCCAGCCCAAAAACATGGAAACAATGATTTAAAATGTTGATCATACCCCTAAGGCTTTAGGGCTATTAATAGAAGGAAAAATTACACATGGAATACTTTTAATACTTAATTTTATATTGAGACAACACTTTTTAAACATTTCAATGAGAGACAATGTGACGACCCGTCCCTACTTTTCACTGTAATTTCTTTTCCGTTGGTGTGAGTTGACGATTTTACCCTTTTTGGACAAAAATGGAATCTGATGTGGACGTGGTTTTCGGCTTTCAGTTTCATTTTACTGTTTCGTACTAAATTAGTACTCGTTCCTACGAATGTGTGAGCGCATGTTAGAATCGAATCGGATTTGCAACGAAAAAGTTACGCTCCGTTAAAGTACGTTAATTACGGGTATTTTTGTACACTTGCGTACAAATTTATCAGTGCTTGAAACACTGTAGGGAGGCAGATTTTGTACATTAAAAATTGTACAAAATCCATCAATCCCTTCCTTAATTGGTGGATCTGGTTCCTTTCACCAATCAAAATCCTTCAATCCCTCTCCACCACTCACATCTTTTCCCTCTCTTACCTCACCAATCAGGAACTCCCTCTCATTGTCATTTTCAAAAAGCAACTCTTTCTCTCTTCTCTCTCTCCCCGAAGACTCCCTCTCACACTCACTCTGCAATTCCCTCAAATAGACACCAAAACACACAAACATGGCTTGAAAACCACACCATCAAACTCGTCTCACCACCATGAACACAACCGTGCCCTTGGATCGTGGTTTGACCGAGTTTTGGACATCGAACTCGAAAGGTCCGACTTGGCTTAGTTTCTCCCCAATGAGTTGTGAACGAGTTATGAGTTTTTAGGAAGTCTAAAGGCCTCCACTCAATTCCCCAAGGTCTTCAGTGAAGGTTTGTTGGAAGCTTTGACGTGAAACAACCTGGTTTCAAGAAACTGAGTTTTTGGCCTAACCTTTCGAGCCAATTTCAAGCCTTTTCCCGTCCATTTTTGGACTTCCAAAAGGTATAAACTAGTTCTACATTTCATAAGCTTCCTTTCCATGTAAATTTTGTGAAAAATGGTTGAGAAATGAAGGTTTGAAATTTTAACCAGAAAGCGGCGAAATTTTCCAGATTACGGCGATGGACTGCGGCGACCAGCGAGGACCACCGGAGAAGATGACGGAATATTCTGTCAAAGTTGATGGAATATTCTAACGGCGTCAGGTAATGCCGTTAAACTCTGTTAGTTATTTAACTGAATATTCCTGACGGATGTCAGGGCCTTGCCTGCGTGTGGTGGTGCGTATAGCCGTACCTTAGCCGACGCATCCGGCATCTGATTGACCTTCTGTCATTTATTGTAAGTTTTTGATGTCGAGTAGATCGATTTCGTATATTCAAACCCTATGTTTGAGCAGTCTACGGAGGTTTTATTTAAGTTTTCGTATATGTGTTATTAAACTAATTAAATTAGTAATTCCACATATAAGGGAAATGTATCCCGAGGACATGCGGGATCAGGCAAGGCTCGGAGGTTATGATTCGACAACATATTTGTAAGTGGGCAGTTTGTTTTTATATCTATACGTAGTTATAGTTTCCATAAATGCGTATTTACTTCATTTTTACGCTTATATTGCCAAGTATCGTCATTGTGACATTCAATGTGATAAATGCTAGTATATGGTTGGGATATTACTGTCATGACATTCAAACATAATTGTACATGCTCATCATTGCTGCACCCCGGTGTTAGTACTCTCCCCAGGGCTAGGGCTAGTTCTTGACTTGTATGTTCACATCCGCACCGTCCGCTTGCCTTCGATCCAAGTTAGGTGCTGGTCTTGTCATACAGATTGCATTAGGCAATTCTGACTCGTATGTGACCGTGTTGCGGCACCAGCCTTCACGTGATCGTAGTACTAGAGCGTATTGATTATACCCAGTCCTGTTTGTGTCAGAAATTATCTGAATGAATTCATGTGTCAGCTTAGATGGATGAGCACTTAGTTATACTTGATTATCACATGATTATATTACTATGACATTTGATATATCATGACTTGGCATATTTCTGGTTGTATTGCTGTTGTACTTTTGTTACATACTTACGTAGTATGTTTTACGGAAACTATACTTGTTTTACAGCGAGAGGTTACTATGTTCGAAAATAAAGGTTTTCTTACAAATGTTGTTTTGCTAACCCAATCAACTTTGTCTCTCGCCCCTCCAGGGTTAGCAGCTATGCTTACGTGTAAACGAGGATTCTGGCAAGTCTCAGGAGACGGTTATCTTCAGTGGTATAACCCACATCCTTTTTACTATACTGTCTTATACTCTGACATCACGTGTGAAATAGGTTCAATCTTACTTACCCGTGCACTATTTTAACTAGACACTTTTAGGTTTAAATTTATTCACATCCTTTTTCCACTACACTACACTTTATGGCTTCGTCACCCTCCAGGTGTTGGCCAACACAATTTGATTTGGAGTCCAAGTGGACATTCCGGGTCAGGGTGTGTCAGACAAAAGTTTAGATATTGGAAGATGACATCCTCACAACTCCAACAAAATTAATATGTGCTATAAGTTCAGCCCATCCTTGACAACTTCTGTAGAATTAGTTTTGAAACTATATGTAGAATCAGTTTGTAATCAGTTCAACCTATCTTCGTTCATTTTTGCAGAATCAGTTCAACCTGTCATTTTCTTAAAATCAGTTCAATCAATCCTCAAACATTTTTTGCAGAATCAGTTCAACTCGTCATCGACCATTTTTGCAGATACAATTTTTATAGTTTTAGTAGAATCAATTTGTATACTTTATACAAAATTACGTACATGTCACCAAACAATTTTGGCAAAATCAATTTCAAATATATGTAGAATCGGTTTTGCATACTTTTAGTAGAATCGATTTGTATACTTTCAACAAAACTACATACATGACATCAGTCCAACCCCTTCGTGACCATTTGTTGCAAAATTAGTTTCAAATATTGCTATTTTCTCTGAAAATACCAACAAATTCAATTCTAACAAAAAAAAGATATCAACATTTCAAAAATATAAAATAATCTTATTGCTAAAGCAATCCCCAAACCAATACTTCAACTACAAAGTGAAAGAATTAAGCAAATTAATAACAAAAACCCAGAAGCTAAAATTAATGACGATTTCTTATCTATTAAGATTCATGCAGGCTTTTGTTGAGTTTTTAAAGTGATAGACTTTCACAGATTCATTAGGCTTTTACTCATTATTATAAACCTCATAAAATTTCACAACTTTTAATTATAGACTTTTGTGAAAAGTAATAGACTTTTGTAGAATTGTAGAAAGTTCAATGCTAGAATTTTTTAAAATTCCGTGGATTGTTATGAAATTTTTCATGACTAATTTAATAAGAAGCATTATTATTTTGGGTTTTTATTACAAACAGTCTTTGAAATTGACCCATTCTAGATGGTTCCTGAAATTGAAAATCGATAAATGTAGTCCCTGAAATTGATGTCGCAAATCAATGTGATCATTCTATCATAATTTTGTTAAAATTATTGTATGTGTTGACGTGTCACATAACTGAGTCCCATAATAATTAAATATGGCCATTAAAAAAATTTAAATAATATAAAATATTTTTTTATTTTATATAATTAAAAACTTAAAAAAACGAAAGAAAAAAAGAAACAGTTCATCTTCTTCCCCTCCAACCCTCCACCGAGCACCCCGCCCCCACCCCCACCCCCACCCCACCCCGTCGTGTGTGCACCCCGAGCAACCACTTCTTCCCCTCATACATTGCCACAAAATGCAACATCCTAGGCCCTACCCTCATCCTCACCTTTTCCCGCAACGTAATCAATCCGCAACCCAAATTGCTTCGGGGACATCCAATTTTTTTAAGCTTTGGTGCTTTGTCACATGCCAATAATGGCCTCGCCGGCGACCCGAGTCACTGACTCCTTTACCAAGACCTACTCCTAGATTTGCAAGAAGAAGAAGACGGTGGGTTTTCCTCTGCCGTTTTCACGCGTTCGATCAACCATCCACGACCGCACTTATTCTAATTTCAAACAGATTGGTGTCTGGGGTGGTTGGGTAGGGTTGGGATTGTGATGGTGCCTGGGGTGGTTGGGTAGGGAGGGGAAGATCATTATCATATTTTTTTTAATTTCTAAAAGTTTAAATATTTTACTAATATTATTTAATTAGATTTGTAGGACCAGTATCTACCACGTCATCACATAACATAATTTTTTATAGAATTTTAATGGAAGAATCATATTGATTTGTGACACCAATTTTTAGGAACTACATTGATCGATTTTCAATTTTAGGGATCATCTTGATGAAATGAGTTAATTTCATGGATCATTTGTGATAAAAACCCTATTATTTTTAAGTTTTTATTATTGAACACAGGGATCATTGTGACCATGACAAAGCGATCTTATGAGGTGGTGGTGACAACGATGGTGGTAAAAGTGTTACGTGGTGATTGTTGGCAAGATGGTGATATTAAAGTTGGTGTCTTTGGTCATAGTAAGGTGATGGTGGTGACATGCATTATGGTGGATGGTGGAGTATATCATTAGATAATTAAGAAAATTGAATTTCATCGTATCACTCAAAGTATATCAATCCTATCTGCAATTCTTGCCCGCTTCCACTCCACTATTACCACTTGTTAGAAAACATGGTCGAGAGAGAGAGGAGAGAGAGAGCGATGAAAATAGCGGCTATGAACATGTTATCTCAGCCATGGCCGCCTACACCATCTCTCTATGCTGCTAATAATACTAATAAGTCAAATGCTAATAATTGTAAATTACATTCGTATCTCTACTCTATTGCCGCTTCACCCTATGAACCAAATAGATCAAACCCACCATCCAAGCTCTCTACAATTTCCACCCGTTTCTCAAAGTCCAGTAATTTTTCTGTTTCCACATTTAATTTCATTTGATTCCTGTAACCTAAAATTTACAAGTTTTGCAATTGAATGTAGGATTTTCCTTTGTTAATTTCTCAAATTAAGAGCTAAATGTAAAGATTCTTGTAGTAATTCTTTTTTCCAGCTTTTGTGGTGGGATAATTAGTCATTGATTAACTAGTACATAGTTATTTAGAGGCAATGTTGAATGATTAACAAGTACATAGTGTTTTCACAATGGGAGCAAGAATTTTGAGCCCTAGCCAATCAATTTTTGAAATGACAAAGTTCACAAAATTGGGGTATTTTTGGAATAAAACCTGTGGTTACTGAAGAAAATTAGCATGCAAGCCAACACTAGTGAAAATATCTGCCTAGTTTCGAACACAATACGGTATTGGCATTTTAGTGTACTGTGTTTGATCAGGCAGTATTTTTAAAGCCGTATGGATGGATTCCTTCAATTTTGTTCACTATGTGCTCATATCAATTTTTAAGGACTTCATATCTGTGGATGGATTCTTTAGAGTTGTGAACTTAGTTCTTGCTCCTATCTTTTTGTGGATTCTAATGGCTAGCGAGCTTGTTTAACTAGTTGCACTTAGAACTTTGTATTGCCTCCTCATTTCTTTACTTTTTTGTGTTAAGTTTCCCTTTTAAAATATTCTGTATCTTCCGTTGTTGAAAGTAAGTCGTCCTCCTAATAAGTCTTGTCTCATCCTCGGATTTATGTGATAATTTGGCCTCTTTTGAAAGAGGGAGAGGAACCAGTTTGCATGAAACTACTGCTCAACTAACCCAACAAAGGTGTATATGTTAGTTACTGAATATAGGTTGTTAGAAAAATTTGCAATGTAAATTATTTTTAGTAATAGTAATGGATCAAGTTGAATAGTCTGAATATGATGTATGTGTAAACACGAAAAATTCCTGAAACAAGAGACAAGAATACGTGTACAAAATATATTTTTTGTATTAATGATTTTGGGGTTACAATCTCTTTGTAATTTGATCCTCTGATTCTATCTTCGTAGGGTGTAGGTTTGTGGATGAGTTGTTGATCCAAAGGGCCGTCGGGGCTTGATCTAAGGATGAACAGTTGATGAATGGATCTTCAAGGGGCGTTGGGCTTGATCTTGAAGAATGGGTGTATGAGTTTGTTGAGGTTGTTGATCCAAAGGGCCGTTGGGGCTTGATCTTAGGATGAACGGATGATGAACGATGAACACTTTCTTCAAGAGGCCGTCGGGGCTTGATCTTGAGTTGGTGGGAGTTCTTCAAGGGCCGTTGGGGCTTGATTTTGAAGGAGGTTTTGACGAAGAACGAAGAGTGCTTTCTTGATCCTTCGGGATTTGCTTGAGAGCTTTAGAGTTTCAAGGCTTCTTCCTTTCTTCCTTTCTTTCTTTCTTCCTTTCTTTCTTTCTTCCTTTCTTCTTTCTTCCTTTCTTTCTTTCTTCCTTTCTTCTTTCTTCCTTTCTTCCTTTATTTCTTTCTTTCTTTCTTTCTTTCTTCCTTCTTCAAATGAATGTCTTGGCTTCCTATTTATAGAATTCCAAAACTTGATTTTTGGATTTAAATAATCAGATGAAATAAATCATTTCTGCCAGGTATTGACACGTGTCCTATTTGATGACTTTTCCA